CACATCACTTTCCCTGTGGCCATCTGGAGCCAGTGCATTATGCATCCCGAGGGGGAGTACTGTACAGAGAATCATAGCCTGCCATTCACTGACCTGTGAGAGAGCCAGTTAGTGTATCTGTTTGTGAAATGAAAATTACTCTTCTTTCCTCTTCAAAGGTTTTTTTTTCCCCTCTGAATTTATAAAGTTTCATTCAGTTAAAATATTTTTTTTCGTGTGTTTGGAATAAATATCTATTTATGGAAGCTTAAATAGCTCATATTTATTAGTTCACAATGTGGCTGAGGCTGATGACATTTACTGGTAATAGAAACAGAAGCATTTGCAGTGTTCTATTACCAGTCACATGGCAATTATAAGTTTCAGACTGGGATGCAAAAAGAAAACCCAATGTCAGGCAGCCCACACAACAGCAACAAACATTACTCTGTGTCATTATTAAATGTGCTTTCAAAGCTTCCCTGAGCCATATAGCTCCCCTTTAAGTTTTTTTTAAATACCTTTGGTATTTATCTTGCTGCTCAAAATCAGCAGACAGGCATTCCATCTACACTTTGTGGAAACGTTTCCCCCTTTGCTTCATAAATACTCTGAACCGAACAGCTCTTAACTATAATCATAGGGATATATTTTTCACTGAGATTTAATATTGTGAGTAGGCAGTGGTATCCAACTTTCAAGTAGCCAAAAGCACATTCAGTTGTAATTTTGCACTTGCTGACTCTATCCTTTAAGTCAGTGGTTCTTAACTTTACTGCAGCCTGCACCCCTTTGATTCTCAAAATATGTTCTTGAACCCCTTATTAAAAATCGTTGACGTAGGTCAGTTTTAAACCTAAGATATATCATAAAAATCTGGAACTTCATCTTATTCACAAGTTCAGTTCTCACACCTCTGAATTAAACAAAGATACTGGATGGTTAGGTCATTACTTACCTATCAAACAATGAAGGCAACAATGGTTCTTTGTCTTTGAAGAATCTCATGATCCCATCTAGATGTTTCATCAGTCTTTAAGTATTTCCTGACTCTCTGTTGTTTGCTAATTAATGGTTCTTATGTACCTCCTTTGACTATCTAGTCTCTTTGTGCTTATAGACTATTTGTTTTCCCTATTGCTTTCCAGCTCAGCTTTCCCTTGATATATTTTTTACCCACTGTCTTTTCTTTTTCCCCCTTCCCAATTTTCCCTGTAATAACTATGTAAAAGTTATTATAACTAACCCTCTTTATCCATCTGCAAAGAAGACAGAACAGTAGAAGAGATTTGCTGTGCCGACTTCACCTCGTGCTAAAGGAATGGATTCTAAACCAGCACTTCTTTTTTCCAGGAGAGCAGCATTCTCATCTATGTTTTTTGCTGATATATTCAACTACATGGCCCTTGTCACTGTACTAGCTGTGTGCATTTTAGTCATTAATGAATTTAATCCTCATCACACCCCTGTATTATAGGAAGGCTCTGTCTGTTTTACGCATTAGAGACTGTCACAAGTTAAATTAACTTTTTTGGCCTCATATGGGAAATCTGTGACAGCTGGACATTGCATGTACGTCACTTGAGTGTTAGTAGCATAGACCGTCCTTCCTATGACATTAACAGGAGTGAAAGTAGATGCTGGGACTTACCAATGCTCCCTGCACTAGCCTCAGCATTCTCTGGCAAGAGAGGATGGCTCTTGGCTCCCAAAAGGGCAGGGGCTTTGGGCAGAAGGACTGGGGCTGGAGGCCCCTCTATGGCCACTGCTACTACAGTTGCCAGGTGCCCCAGGGTTCCCGTGGTGATTTGAAGGGCCATTTAATGTTGCTGCTCTGTTTGCTCCCCCGAGCAAAAGCAGCAGTGAAGTGCTTCAGCAGCAGCACTTCTGGAACCAATGGCATGGCTACCGACAAAGAAGGGAACAAAAGGGACAGTGATGTTAAAGCGCTGCTATGGTTGTGTTTCAGACATAGTTTCCAATTGGGAATGAGAAGTCATGTATTACTGAAGAAGGAAAATTACATATTAGTATTTCCTTTGGGTTTGTTTTGCAGAGACTTTAGTCCATTGGCCACACACAGTTTGCCAGACCATCAGAGGGTTTGTTTGCCTGAGCATCTGAGGCATGGCTGCTAGCAGATCCCTAATGGCTGTGGATCGACATTCCCAGCCAGTGGGAGATGCAGGAAGCATAGCTCCCATTGTCCAGGTATGGCGCACCATAGCCACTGGGAGCTGCAGGGATATGTGCCTGTGAACGTATAAGTAAACAAACCATCTCATGGACCGCCAGCGACTAACCTTGATGAGCCATGTGCCTCCAGTGTGCCAAAAGATCCCTATCCTGGTTTTAGTTATTGTATATCTAACCTCCCTATTTTGGGGAATGTATAATTTTGCATAACCTTTGTCAGAAATCTAGTTTTGTATAACCATTGGCAATGTTTATACCAAGAACAGAAAGCTCACCCATTACACTAGCTATCTTTGATACATTTTTGTCTTTTTTTTTTCTGGCTAAGGGGAGAGATACTGCTATCTGACCTGATATTCATGGAGGGAGAATTAAACTATGGAAATCCGAGTTTGACATCTGTATTTGAAATTAAATCAGAACAAAAAAGAAATAGAAAACAACCCCTCTCCCCCTCAGAAAACAAAACCCCAAAATCAAAGAAAACCTCCCATAACACATAAAATACATCCCCTAAAATTACTTGTGTCCCTGTCTCTTCATCTCAGTGCACTCTAATCAGTTAAACAAAGGCACAAATGCTTATTTATTAATATTTTTATAAATGTCTCTAAGTATTGGTCATCATGCATGAAAAATAAATTGTTCTGATTAAATATTAATGTGCAATTTACAAGCAAACCTAGTATTTATGGAATTTGTGTTATAGTCCATGATTACTTTTGTGTATATCTTTCATTACAGGTTGATGAAAAGGCTCTAAAACACATAACAGAAATGGGTTTCAGTAAAGAAGCAGCAAGGCAGGCGCTTATGGATAATAGCAACAGCCTAGAAGCAGCATTAAATTTTCTTCTGAATAGCAGTAAACAGAAACCTACTCAGGGACCACCACCTAGAGGTATAACTTGTGAAACTGTGTTTTAGACTGAAGTTTCTACATAACAGGGAATCTTGTGTTGCAAGCACAAAAAGATGATAATGGTCTTTGCTGGTGTATTGAGAATAATACAGTGGCATAATTGCATATATGTTTTCCTCTAGATCCATGTTTCTCAAACTGTGGGTCCCAACCCCTCATGGGGTTGTGAGCAACTTAGAGGGGGGTTGCAAGCAACTTAGAGGGCATTGCAGTATCACAAAGTTTGAGAAACCCTGCTCTAGGTCATGATGTATTCAAGACCTGACAGTGAATAACTGAAAAGTATCTCTGTGTATTACATCTGTAGTTGTTTGCTAGTTAAAAATCACACTTAAGTGTTTTTAATTGAAAATAATCCATGTACAGTAAAACTCCGATGGTCTGGCATCTGATGGTCCGGTACTCCTGATGGTCTGGCACCATCAGGAACCCGCAAGGGCTCCGGGCAGCCGGACCATTGGAGCTGCTCTGCCCCCAGGTTCCCCGATTCAGTCACTGCTAAAACTGACCAGCTGCTGAATCGGGGACACCTAGGGCAGAGCAGCTGGGGTGCCGCCGGGGTGGTCCAGTAGCGCCAAGGAGAGGTGCTGCGGCAGGCCCCAGCTGCCCTACCCCCGGGGTGAGCCACAAAAGA